CATCTCAGCACTAGCAGGGGTCTCCACACGGCTGCTCCAGCACCCAGGGCTGCATCGGGATAGGTCCATGTAGCTTCTCCTTGGGGATGTCTTGTAGGACGTCAATCTTGCAAGCTGAAGCAGGGAACTGCTAAGGCAGTTGCACCCGGTGTAACCATCGTTGCTACACTGCACCCTGACTGGCTCATCTCCTCCCTGCAGCCCTTCTGCAAGGGGATGTCCAATTTCCACAGATGGGCCCTGGGTCCCCACTCCATACTCCCCCTCATTCACAATGCTATGATTTTTTTTTCTCCTTTTGGTCTTTGATGCCCGATACCTGATCTCTTTGATGCCTTGTGATCTCACAGGCTGGTGTGCTTCTTCCATGTCGGCTTTGTTGTTTCTCAGTTAGATGTCCCCTTGTTTATCTTCCAGCCTATAGGACCCCAGATTCTATATCTTTTGACAGCCGGGCAACTGTCAGCTTTCTTCACCGCATTTGCTTATGCATCCACTTTGTCGTCAGCATTTGTGTTGGGGTAGGCTGGTGAGTTTCTTCCATGTTGACTTTGTTGTTTCTAAGCTAGATGGCCACCTGTTTGTCTTCAAGCTTTTAAGACCCCAGATGCTATATCATTTGATAGCCGGGCACCATCAGCTTTCTTCACCACTTTGGCTTATGCACCCACTTTGTTCTCAGCGATCGAGTTGGGACAGGCTGGTGTGCTTCTTCCATGTGGGTTTTGTTGTTTCTCAGCTAGATGGCTGCTTGTTTATCTTCAGGTCTTTTTTTAAATTATTATTAGGGGCTCATACAACTCTATCACAACCCATACATACATCAATTGTGTAAGGCATATTTGTACATTCATTGACCTAATCATTCTCAAAACATTTACTCTCCACCTAAGCTCCTGGCTTCAGCTCATTTTTCCCCTCCCTCCCTGCTCTCTTCTCCCTCATGAACCCTTGATAATTTATAAATTAGTATTTTGTCATATCTTGCCCTGTCCAACTCTCCCTTCACCCACTTTTCTGTTGTCCATTCCCCAGGGAGGAGGTCACATGTAGATCCTTGTAATTGGTTCCCCCTTTTCAACCCATCCTCCCTCCACCCTCCCAGTATCGCCACTCACACCACTGGTCCTGAAGGGATCATCCACCCTGGATTCCCTGTTTCCAGTTCCTATCTGTACCAGTGTACATCCTCTGGTCTAACCAGATTTGTATATCTTCAGGTCTTTAAGACTAGATGCTATGTCTTTTGGTGGCCGGGCACCATCAGCTTTCTTCACCACATTTGCTTGTGCACCCATTGTCTTCAGCAATCGTGCCAGGAAAATGAGTATCTCAGACTACCGAATTGTTAGAACAAAGTGTTCTTGTGTTGAGGGAGTACTTGAGCAGGGGCCCAGTGTCCATCTGTTTTCTTAATACTCAACCTATAAATATATGTACATAGATCTATTTCCCCCTCGTCACATATAAATATATTTATATCTTTATATGCCTGTATTTAAATCTCTATGACTACCTTTTGCCTCCTAGTTCTTTCCTCTATCTCTTTGTACTTTCCTCTTGTCCCACTATCATGTTCAGCCTTCATTTGGGTTTTAGGAATTCCTCTCTGTTACACTGACCTTGACCTAGCCCTGCCAGACCTCTTACGCCCTCCTTGCCACTTATTTTGGATCACTTGTTGTTCCCTTGTCCCTGGGTTTGTTAACACCCATTTCCTTTCCCCTGCCTCCCCTACTCCCATATTCGCCTGGAACTGTGATCCTGTTGTTCTGTCTTCTGGCTTGTTTATCCCACCTATGCCTTCCAGGTAGACATGCTGTGTACCATCACAAGACTAAGTACAATGAAGCAACTATTGAAAGTAAAACAATAGCTACAACAACATCAAAAACACACACACACAAAAACATAGTTCAGGGTATATGTATTGTCTTTCATGATAATGCTTTATGTAAAAGTCATGCTTCCTTTAAATTTCCAGGTATAAATAATTGTAGGGCATTTTCTGAAGGTTTACAGTGATAAAGAGAGGGGCCCTGGTGATGCTGTTGAGTAAACACTGGGCTGCTAACCACAAGATCAGTGATTCAAACCCACCAGCCACTCCTCAGGAGAAAGATGAGGTTGTCCGCTTCCATGAAGATTTACAGTCTTGGAAACCCGATCATACAGTTCTAAACTGTCCTAGAGTGTTGTCGCTATGAGTCTGAATCTACTCAATAGCAGTGGGGTTGTGTGTGTGTTTATAAAAAATAGAATCTTTTAAAAAATCATTTTATTGGGTGCTTGTACAACTCTTATCACGATCCATACATGCATCCATTGTGTCAAGCACATTTGTACATTTGTTACCATCATCATTCTCAAAATATTTTCTTTCTACTTGAGCCCTTGGTATCAGCTCATTTTCCCCCTCTTCCTGCCCCCCTCTGCCCCCACGAACCCTTGATAACTTATTACATTTTTATTGTTTTGCCATGTCTTTTTGTTTGTTTGTTTGGGGGTTTTTTTGTTTTGTTTTTTTGTCATGTCTTACACTTAAGTACATTCTAACAACTATTTTATAGTTTATAGATAATATACTATACCATACACAAGTCAAAATTTAGGAGAGATATTGGAAAATGTACCACAGTATTTATCTTCTTGATGTTGGTTATTTCCAAGTCTATTCCAACTCATGTGTGCAGAGTAGACCTGCTCCAAAAGAAGTTGAAACTTCACCAGGCCCGCGTTCTGAGAACCTCTCATCTCACTCACTGCCAACTCACAGCAACCCTACAGCACAGGGTAAACCTCTGTGGGCTTCTGAAACTCTTAACTCTTTACAAGAGTAGAAAGTCCCATCTTTCTCCCTTGGAGCTGCTGCTGGTTTCCAACTGTTACCAGCACAATGTGTAACCATTAGGCCACCAGGGGTCAGAACCTTTTAGCTAGTAGCTGAGTATTTAACCATTTGCATCACTCATTTATCTTAGGGAGCTGGAGTGATGAAATGGTTAAGCCCTTGACTGTTAGTCAAAAGGCCAGCAGTTCACAGAGCCGTCCCCAGCTCCAAAGATGACATTCTCTCCCTATATGACAGTGCTGCAGAGGACAGCCCTGAAGATACAGTTTGAGGAGAGAGTCTGCCTGACCTGAACACACAGGGGCAAACCAAGAAGGGAGTGTAACAGACTAGTGATGGGAGCGAA